TCTATTTTATATTTTATATTTACTGATGTTGTTTCTGTGATAGTTTCAATAAAAAACCTATAATATTTTTACTGCCAGTATTTTATTTCTCTCAATTCCTAAAGTCTGAGGTAACAATGAACTAAAAAAACACACACGCTTCTATAGAACTCTAGACAAAGACTGTGGTCTCTCTCTCTCTCTCTCTCTCTCTCTCCCTCTCTCTCTTTCTCTATTTTTACTGTTTATGTCTGCAGTCACATATTTCTTATCCATTTCAAAAGTAAACCAAAACGTTGGCATGTTCACTAGTATTCATAAAAATATAGATATGGCGAACCGAGAGCATAAAGACTTGTAGCAAAATCCCATGCCAGTAACGTTCATGAGTTACAAACTTTGCAAAAATACAGTTGTTATGAGGAAACCTATGACAGACAGCGTTTACATCACTATTGTTAAACATGTGTGCCTCTGTATGATCCACAGCATAACCTACTGTAGGGACCAGGAAGAATACACAAAGAGGTGTGTCGGCCTTTTTTTTATTTCCCGTGGAGTCTCAGAGATGATGTCTTTGAATTCAGCATCTCTTGGCATAGATGACTAAAGCTGATATTCCATGCACACACAACCTATGTACAGCTGATTCATCAATAGTGACTAATAATTGTGTCTGCTGGCGGCAGCGGCAGCAGTTGGAATTGGTCCTTAATCCCCATAACAAGCTCCACTTCCATAGGAAATTGGAAGGATCTCTTCAAGGCGGCAGGTGATTATCAGGACCCATTCAGGAGGAGCAGTCTCTTTCCAGTACAGTCCTTGGTATGGCTAAATTCCATTGTCCCTTTTTCAGCAGTCAAAAATCCATGATAAATTCTGTATAACACTGTAGCCAATAACAGCAGCACCAGATATTAATTCCTTTGCTAGAAGCTGTTTGCATATTAAGTATATACATTACATTAATCTATATCTGCCAGCGCTCTTTACCAAAACTAAATCAATGTACATCTCTATGTATCAGAAAGGTAAGTACTGATAAATACATTCTTGTACAAGAAATTTTCACATGCAGTTCATGCTAGGCTATATACAGAATATTATGTTACATGGTCAAATAGACTTCTTTTCCTAACAAAAATAAACATACAAAAATCAGGGATTTTTCAACAATCTCAAGGATTTCTTATGACACTCTTTGATTTTCTTTCTCCCCACCCCACCCCCCTTATATTTCTAAGGCTTTTACGTTGCTGGGTGTTTTCCTCACCAGCCCAAAACGTCGTAGTTGCGACTGCATTCATGATGCTGCATAAACAAGGCTGTCTTGTTTTATTGTAAAGAAAAAGCTGATGTAGGGAATAAAGTCTCAACACAAGAATGAATGCAGATTGCTAAGGGTGTGGGATTGAAGCAGGAACCCTATTGAAATGGCAGAACCGTTGCTAAATCCCACACTCGGGGGAAATGTCAAAGAAGTGCTCACTAAAAGGATATCAGCTTACACTTGCGATATGCATAGATACATATATCAAAAAGTGGGGGGAAGAAGGAAATGCATTTAGCAGCAAATCTTATATGAAGGGAGCATTTTTGAAAAAGGCAACTGTGCTTTATGGAGACAGATGAAAAATACAGTCAGACAGTCAGCCAGACAGACAAACAGAAACAACATATAAGACAAAGCATCGTTAAAAAAATATATGACAGAAACAAAATTGTGAAAGCTTGGGAGTTAGAGGTTTAAGGCTGGTCAAAAAACCCTTTTGAAAACTATTGCCCTCCTATACCTCTAGCAAAAAAAAATTAAAACTCCAGTATACTTCTTGCTCTGAGCACATGGCACTCAGCCTCTGAAAATGTTGAAGAACCCTGCAGAAGAGAAATCACTATAGGGCCAAGCAGAACTTGCTATCTTAAAATTGCAAGCCCGGATGGTGTTTACCTTTCTTTCATGTTTTGTGCCTTCCCCAAGCCATTAAGAAAGAGATCTGGCTTCTGCTTGCGTGTAACCAGTAATGACAACCTCTTTGCAGTTATCTGTGTGCAAACAACCGAAAACATTCAGAACTCTGATACATCAGTCCAGTACCAAAATTAATCAATCAAGAAATAGACATTATTGGGGGGAAAGTTATAAATAAATAAAAAGAACTAAAAAGCAGCACAATAAAAACAGCCCAATCCCACATGCGGACCTGTTGGTCGTGATTTATTTTTTTTCTGATTTCAGCAAGATGATACAATGAATAAAACAACAAACCTACGCAATCCAGAGCCATCTGTGGTCTTGGTTAGTCTGCAAGACGGATTTCAAGTGATGGAGACAGTATGGTCCATGCAAATGATCAGACTGAAGTCACATTCTATGCAATCAAGACAAGATTCCAGACATCTTCGAGATGGGTTAGAGTCACAAGAAATGGTCCAATGGAATGGTTATCAATTGGAAGCACATTGGTTTTACTGTATCTCCCTGAAAATATGCTTATTTATTTGTACTGGCCAGTGAAGTCCACTAACTGTCCTTTTATTGCTGTGGTAAGATAGGACAAAATCAGGTAAAAGGTGAGGGGGGAATCTACTTTAGAGGATCTTATAAGCAAAATTGGGGTCTTCAGCTACCCAAGTGGCATTGCTTGCTGCTGACAGTTATATCGCACAAGATTTATACTTGTATTAGTGGAAACCACAGCTAATGCTACACTTATTTCCATTAGGTGATAAACAGCACTTCAGTTAAAGCTATGTAGCCAGCTGATGCCATCTGGTTTACAAAATAGATGGGATGGGAGACCGAGAGCGTCTCAGAGGACAAGGTGAGCTGTAGGGTGATGTTACTGGAGACAGTCTCAGGGCATTGCCTGCCATGCCAGCTATGTTGTTTAAACTTCGGGATTTTTCGTAGCCTTTCACAAGAAAATGCACAGAAATCAGTTGAGTTCAGCCAGAAAGTAGACAAACAATACAATGCAATGCAATGTAATCGTTCTTGCTCATTGGGTTCTAAGAGAGTAGGATGCTAAGACTGTTTACAACAACAGAGAAAAACATAAAATGGTGCTATTCTTACTAATGATATTAAATGAATTCAGACCAACTACATACTTAATTTTGTTAAGGCCAATGAGCTGGGGGTGTATACTTAGTACAAGCCCAGTGGTTTCAGTAGAACTGCAATGATAGCACATAGAGCATATTGTAGTACAATTCAGGGTGATAAGCAAGACAGATGAAGAAAGCATTTGCTATATACAGGTATATAGATAGATATATATTTGGTGTCAATGCCAGTTCTTAATATTTCAAACCACAATCATTTTTTACCTAATTTTATGAAGTTATTTTGCAATCATAAAAGCAGAGGAATAAATTATGTATTGTTAAAAAAGCTCCATCTCCAGAAGCGCTTTGATTTAGCATCTGACGCTCTGTCTAATACTATTTAAAGTGTGTCTTGTTTGCAATATTTAACTGATTTGCAATTCATTAAAATGTGTTATTTATATGTAGGTTTTTAGTGATCTGTGCAGTACATACTATTTGCAATCCAAGTGATATTATAGGAACAAAGCATGACTTCTTTTAAGCCTAAAATAACCAGAATTTACATATTATAGAACAACATTCACCACTAGCGTAGAATTCTGCACCCCCAGACATTTTCATTTCACAGATACTGTACTGTGAAAGTGTCTACTTTTAAAGCAAGATATGGGTGCTTTATTTAAGCAACAGAACGGCATTACTATTTAATGTCACAGAGTGTTGTGCATGGAAAGAGGACCACGGTTCTTACAGCACACTGAAAAGCCAAAACTGTGTATTGGCCTTAATCTAAACAAGTTTACCTGAGAGTGAAGTCCCATTTATCTTCATGGGGCTTCCCCATACACACAAACCTCTGCTTGACAGAAAAGAGATAGAAGCACATCTTGTTTAGGCTAGTCGTTCTCAAACAGGGGAGCCAACCCCATGTGGAAAGACATCCACAATTTAAGCACACAATTGCTGCAACCACCACCAGTGTTTCCCAAAACAAATACAAGAAAGATGACTGATAAAGCTATATTTTTTAAAACTCATGTATACACAGCTGGTAGGCCTGAGTGGACAGAAACTCAATAATGCATGTATGCCGTTGTTTCAATAGGCAAATATGCCATTGACCTTTCCATAGCTTGCCATGGGAAACAATTATTTAACACTGGCCTACTGCAGCAATATTGTGCTGGGTAAGTGGGTTCACCTTTAGCCTATTAGCCTATGGCATCAAAGCCTCACATTTCTATGTCAATGTTTTCCAAAATACTAAGTGTATTGCACATCAGGGCTCTGGCATTTAGAACTACAGTGGTACCTTGGTTCTCAAACTTAATCCATTCCAGGAGTCTGTTCGACTCCCCAAACCGTTCAAAAACTAAGGCGCAGCTTCCAATTGGCTGCAGGAGTTTCCTGCACTCAAGCGGAAGCTGCGTCAGAAGTTTGGCTTCCGAAAAACGTTTGCAAACTGGAACACTTACTTCCAGGTTTGTGGCATTCGGGAGCCAATTTGTTCGGGAACCAAGCCATTTGAGTACCAAGGTACCACTGTACAATACATTCTTAACTGAACCATCCTTCTAAAATATTACTAAATTAAACTAATGAGTCCTTAACTGGAATTTAAGATATCCCAAAGCAATTTCTAAAGAACTGTTATGAAAGTGATTTAATGAACATGACCTAAATTACATTTATCTATGTACAGGACAGACAAATGAAACCAAATGAATTATACACCTATCAGAAACAATGCGGACATATCTCTGGATGGATTGATGAGCCAAGACCGTTATTTAAGAGGAAGCAAGAAAGGGACAACTGAAGAAGAAGTAGAAGAAGAAGAAGAAGAAATGCATTAGTCTGCATACAATGTTTCCTATATAGCATTTGTTCGCATCTCCTTCATTCCAGGTTTGTTTACTCAGAAGAACAGTGCTGGATGAACTTTTATAGTCTAATGAAAGAGTCCATACCTTTCCTGATCCCTCCATCAGTAGCACACGCGTAATCACCTGCTGTCAGTAGGAAACATGTTCCCCCTCTTCTGTTTTTGTCTCTGGTACTAGAGCGTCTGATTGGTGGGAGCCTTTCCACAGGTGACAGTGGCTGCTCACTTTCTGTACTGTCTTCACCTGATAACACTGGTTAAAGCACCATGCCCATTTACATAATATAGCCAGAGAGGAAACGAAACATCACAAACAACTTGCCTGACAGCCTGTTACTTAAGTTAATATTTATTTATTTATTTATTTATTTTAAAAAACTACTAGTTCTTGAATTGGGGGATGGGGAGAGATGGCCCTTCATGGTCATTCATTAATATAGAAATAGAACAAAGTTGCACATCTGTATTATTTGGTTAAGGAAAAAAAATTTGATGTTGATTTTTGGCTTTTTAGACGGTTGCCATCTTCAATATTATACTCATTGCTTCAGTGTCTTCAGTACTTAAAAACAAGTCAGATTTTGCTGCCAAATAATAATAGTAAGTACTAAATCTTGAAATACAGATGGCACACTCATATCCACTACTAAAATAAATCCACATATAACCATAGAATAGCTTATTCGGGTCTACTGCTAAATAATATATTGGGCGCTTACTCAAGAGTAAGAGACCGTGCTTGAGTCGTGACTTCACATCAGGCACGCCCAACTTGAATGCAGGTGACAAACCATGTCCTATGGCCGGCTAAAAGCTTGATAATCCTCTTTCCTTCTGTCTTCCTGGGACTGTTTTGCAAACCATAGTACGCAGCTTGCTGGGTCACAAGTCATGCAGGTTTGCTGAACATTATTATATGAGTATCACAAGACTAAGTGGTCCTTCACTAAGAAGCACACAGGGTGCCATGTTGGGTTAAGGGTAAAGACAATGGCTCTCCTTTCCACATGGCACCAAGTTTAGGGAGGAATCTTCTTGCTTCTCTAATAGCGCGTGCACACACAGAGGTAAGCATGGATCAGTCTGTCAATTTTGGGTTCTCTCGGTTTCTCCTTTTTCCCGTTTTAAAGTTCTCCACATTTCTGCAGCCATTTGCATTTTTAAAACACAAAATCCTCATGGAAATTCATCAGCATTTTAGCACACATTTCTACTAAAATGCACAAAATACATCTTTGACTAAAGTGCAAATTTTTGCAAACAGATTCCCCTTATATAATGCATTTAGGTATGCTGCTTTATGTGTGCAATTTTATGCACAATTCCCCCTAATAAAACCATGCTTGTACATTGTTTGGTAGGAGAACTGTGCTGCAAAAATGGGAGAGGTGTGATTGATTGATTGATTGATTGATTGATTGATTACTAAATTTATATCCCACTTTTCCTTCAAGGAGCTCAATATGGCATACATGCTTCCCACCCACCCCTCTCTTTTACCTTCATAATAGCCCTGTGAAGCAGAGAGGCAGTGACTGGCCCAAGGTCACCCAGCGAGCTTCATGGCTGAGTGGGGATTTTAACCCTGGCCTCTTCCAGATATTAGCCCAGCACTCTAACCACTACACCACACTGACTCTTTGGAAGGGTAATTGTGCTTTGGGCTGTGTATTGGTTTGAGGGTGTATTGGTTTGAGGGTGATCTGAACAGCCCTAATCCCTTCATGTGGTCTGGCTGGCTGCAGCCTAGGCAAGGATTAGCAAACCAAAAATGATGTGTTTTACTTTCCCTTTAGTTACACTCATGGTGCTTAGGCACATCCCTGTGTCCATCTTAAAAGCTAACTGTGGCAATACCTAATAAAGCTTGGGGAGAGGGAAGTAAAAGCTCCTGCCGTAGAGCAGTTAATAGTTATTAAAATGCCTAATCCCTCTTTAAACATCTGCGGTTTTTGATTAATAGGCTCTTTTATCATGATAATAGGGCTTTTAATATTTCAGAACAGTGATCCATTTTATTACTTTTAAAATGCTAACCATAATAATTCTAGAATTTAAAATGGGGATGGGAAACCTGTGGCCCTCCAGACACTTCTGTCATCTGTGGCCATTAGTTATGCAAACTGGGGCTGCTGGGAATTGGTCTGTCAACATCTGGAGAGCCAGATGTTAAAGGCACTGGAAAGGGAAAAGACACATTTTATTACCTTCTTGTAAATATTTTTTTTTCCTTCTCAAGATTTCTCTTTTTATAACCTTTCCCTACCACTGCCATGTAATTGAACACTGTGGACTTCATCTTGACCTGTAAACAGAGTGGCCCTTATCACTTTGGGGATAGTTTAGGTAAGTACCAATCAAGCACAGCATATTCCAACCACTGTATCTAATCTCTTCCAAGATTTTTCCATACTTTCCCAAATGTTGAAATTCAGTATCCCCACCCCAAACCCCAGGAAAACCCCCAGTATAAGCACTTTTGATTCATCATCTCCAAGGGAGTTTGAAATTAGCTGTGATAGCTGTGGAGTCTTAAGAGCACCTATTTTCATTGATATCCTTAAAAGACAAATCACTGGGACCATAAATCCAGAAAGCAGCAGTTTTCTCTCTCTCTGCATCTCCATTATTACTTTGATTTATTTATTTGGAGGGGGGAGAAGCATTGTGAATCATTACAGTAATTGATCATTTAAACGGCTGGCAACCACAATGATCAAGGAAAGTGAAGCAACTCTTCTATGGAGGGTTACAATATTTGAGGATCCTTAGTTTGGAAAAAATGCAGGTAAAAAAGGGGGAAACCACAGAGATTATATACAATTATGCATTCTACAGAGAAAGTAGGAAAAGATGGATTTTTCTCTGTTTCATAATACTAGAATGTGGGGGCATCTAATGAGGCTGAATGCTGAAAGATTCGGGACAGGAAAAAAAGCATTTCTTCACAGTGTGCATAGTTAAATTCTGGGATTCACTACCACAACATGTAGTAATGGCTTTACAAGGAATTAAAACAGTTTGGAAGGTACGGCTATTAATGACAACCAGCCATAATGGTGACATACTATCTCCAGGGTTGGAGGCAGTATACATCTCAACACTAGTTACAGTCATACCTTGGAAGTTGAACGGAATCCGTTCCGGAAGTCCGTTCGACTTCCAAAACGTTTGAAAACCAAATAGCAGCTTCTGATTGGCTGCAGGAAGCTCCTGCAGCCAATCAGAAGCCACAGAAGCCCCATCGGACATTCGGGTTCAAAAAGAACGCTCATAAACCGGAACAATCACTTCTGGGTTTGCAGCATTCAGGAGCCAAAGCATCCAAGTTCCAGGGCGTTCGGGATCCAAGGTACGACTGTACTGGGAATCACAAGGGGAAAGTGTCTGCTGTGTTCATGCCCTGCTTGTGGACTTCCCATTTGCATCTGGCTGAACAGGACTCTGGATTAAAAGGGCCTTTGGTCTGATTCAGGAGAAATTTTATGCTTCTATATATTAAATAAAATTATGAAAAGTCTCTAAGAGTACAGCATCATGGCTGCAATGCTATGCGTACTTACCTGGGAATAAGCTCCACTGAACTCAGTGGGACTTACTTCTTAGTAGGCATTTATAGAATTGCATGGTTAGTTAAAATCTTGTCCATATTGTAACCTTCACCTACAAAATGTGAGGTTCTAAGCATCCTAACAGGGGGGAAGCTTCAAATGAAATTTAATGGACCTCTTGCTTCTAAGTAAGAAAATTTGAGTCTAAGCTTAAATGTAATTTCATGAGCTGTTCCCTTAGATCGGGGGAGGGAGTGGTCATTCCAATCTATGAAAAAAGAAATGCTCTCCTTGAAATCTAGAGAACCCCCTTCTGAATGTTGCACTGAATGTAGGCCCAGATTAATCATCCATGTTTAAATGAATGTTTCTTTATACCACTTCTAGTATTTCATGCCACCAGTGTGGCACAGGCAAAGCAAACAAAAGAGACAAAGCAGACAGAAGAGACAAACACCACGCAAAACGCCATGAAGTTCAACAAAATGGAGGCACAGCTGTACAGGAACAGGCATGCAGGAAACAAAACAAAACATTGTACAGTGCAACAGGCAAAAGAAACAGTAGATGCTGCCAGTAAAACAAAAGAATTATGAAGAAAGAAGGAAAATTAAAGGAAGCTCAGCATTCACAATCAGTGCTTTTTTTTTTGGAAAAAAATTAATAAATAAATAAAAATGAGGTGTTGGTACTTCTATCTTGATAAAAGTGCTGTGGGTGCCAGCACAAAATGGCTGCTATGGGCAGCAAAAAAAAAAGAGGTGATTGTACTCAGTACCATTGAGTACTGTCACAAAAAAGCACTGTTCACGAAACACCTAGCGAACACTACAGATCAGCAATGCACAGATCTGGAAACATCATTCTTATGCTGTAACTATTTTGCCATCTACAAGACTGACATATACAAACAGTGAGTGAAGGGAGAGGTGTGTCAACTACCTCCTCTAGCTGCAGAAAGATTCGATGCTTTCTGATGCCTTGTACTGCCAAACATACCAGACATGCGTTTCGGACGGTGTCCTACCTGATTTATTGTGTTCCATCAGCCGGTTGTCTCTGCCCAGACAGACTTCCCCCTGTGTGCTATTGCAGGCTGTGTTCAAGTCTGTCTTGCAAAATGTAGGGGAGCTTGCCTGAGGAGCAGGTGGGATGTGCTTCTTTCTCTTTCTCGGAAGCTTCTGTTTCGCCATGGCCAGAGAATAGTACATTCCAAAGTTGTTGACAATAACAGGCACAGGCATGGCTATGGTCAGCACCCCAGCTAAAGCACACAGAGCACCCACTAGCATCCCTGACCATGTCTTTGGATACATGTCTCCATACCCAAGAGTGGTCATGGTGACCACAGCCCACCAGAAGCCAATGGGGATGTTTTTGAACTCTGTGTGTTCGCTAGCAGAAGGGTCGTTGGGTCTGGCTCCTATTCGCTCAGCATAGTAGATCATGGTGGCAAATATCAATACTCCTAATGCCAAAAATATTATCAGCAGCAAAAACTCGTTGGTGCTTGCTCGGAGCGTGTGACCCAGCACCCTGAGGCCCACAAAATGTCGGGTGAGCTTGAAGATTCGCAGGATTCTCACAAACCTCACTACCCTGAGGAAACCAAGCACATCCTTAGCAGCTTTGGAGGACAGCCCACTGAGGCCCACCTCGAGATAGAAGGGCAAAATCGCCACAAAGTCAATGATATTCAAGAGGTTTTTGATGAATTCAAGTTTGTTGGGTGAAAAAACTACGCGGACTAAAAATTCAAATGTAAACCACACCACGCATACTCCTTCAACATATGTCAGAGCAGGGTCCGTCTCTATTTCATACTGCAGAACCACCTCGGAACCATTGATGGTTGGCTCTGTTTTGTTTTTGATGGTGTTGAATGCTTCGTGGGTTTCCAGGCAAAAGGTTGTGATTGAAAGTAGGATGAAGAATAAAGAGGCAAACGCAATGAACTGCAAAGAAAAATAAATTAGACACTTATCAGAATCAGAGAGTTTAAAAAAACACCAACATAATGAGAAGTATCATATAGCTTAACTTATAGCATGCTTGAGTGCAAAGACTCCCCATGGGGTTGCTTCCAATAAGATTGATATCAAGAATTCACCTGCTGGTCTCCCCAGCTGGAACTACAAAACAGGCATTGTGGGTAATGATCTAAACAAATAGACTTTTTAGAAGTAGTTTTTATTGAGAAACTATAGTCAAGGCTTAAATTAAGCCAGAAGTACCGACTCCATTCATAAACTCTCTAGGAAGTAACTGAAAATTATTGCCAATGTCAAGGCTTGTCCATATTATGTCTAGTTTGCACAGTGTCCCCACAAACACCCTCCATGTATGGGACTAGAAGAAATAACTTCTGGGACAGTGACAACTGTTAGTCATAATTGATAAGCAAAATGAATGTTCCTGAATAAAATGTAACATTATTTATGTAAATCCTCTGGATTATGTTCATTTTGGCTCTTGTGTATGCAGTATAGAGTCCTTATAAGGTTTCCGGAATGGTCTAATGAAGCATCAGTAAGGAAAGTTGCTGTTTTGACTTCATCTTCTCAGAAAAAAAATATATTAAAACCTTTTTAGTGAACTAAAACATTTCCTTATTAAGGACACATCTAGCATTCCTGCAACAGGGATGGCAGCTACGAAACATGTTGTATCATGTGCTCAGCTTCTACCACATACCTTAACCAGCATTGATTTTATGAGCTTCAGGATGCTATGAACTGCCTGAAGGGCTTAATTACAGATGGCAATTAGACCAAAGGCCTATCTAGTCCAGCATACAGCTGCCACAGCTGCCAACCAGATGCTTATGTCAATACACAGGATGTCAGCAATCAAATATTATTTCTAAAGTATCCTGAAGGCTCATGTTTCTTTATAATATGCATATAACACTCTGGAGAACTCTAGTAAATGTAGAGATGTCCTGAATTTGAATAATGCATGTTGGTGTGATTCTCAGCAGACTGCAGGTACTTTTACCACGATGCTAAGCCTTTCATTCCTTACGACTTTTTCACTGAAGCTGTGTATTTCTTCACACACTGCACATCTGCAGTGACAGTGGGTGGCAGTGCTCACTTGGCCTCCTACATCACCTCAGGGCATGAAAATGTCCTTAAGCCCTAATTAAATAAAGATGTGTAGGGCAATATCCAGTGAAGTAGTGCCAGAACAAGGAATTCCGCTGTGCAAAGGAACGTCCCTTCCCTCCCCCCCATGCATCTGCTCCAGAGGTTTGGGAGAAAACCCATCACAGATTTAGTGGTGTACAAGGAACGAAGAGCAAGAGGAAGTTGGGTTGGTTGACCCAAAGTCCTTATGCTAGTGGAACGAGTTCATAGGATACCACCCATAGACTAAATTGGGACAGCAGAAAGTTAATTCTCCAGTAACCCATTTGCGTTGTTACCCCTCCAGGTAATATAAAAAGGAAGCACCTTGGAAGAGACAGCTGTGTGAAGAATATTGACCTGGTTATTTATTGTAGGTTATTCCACCTTTCAGAGGGACGCGGGTGGCGCAGGGGTCTGAATCACTGAGCCTCTTGGGTTTGCCAATCAGAAGGTCAGCGGTTCAAATCCGCACAATGGGGTGAGCTCCCATTGCTCTGTCCCAGCTCCTGCCAACCTAGCAGTTTGAAAGCATGCCAGTGCAAGTAGATAAATAGGTACCGCTGTGGCAGGAAGGTAAACAGCATTTCCGTGCGCTCTGGTTTATGTCACGATGTTCTGTTGCACCAGTTTAGTTATGCTGGCCACATGACCTGGAAAGCTGTCTGTGGACAAATGCCGGCTCCCTCGGCCTGAAAGCGAGATGAGCGCCGTAACCCCATAGTCACCTCTGACTGGACTTAACCGTCCAGGAGTCATTTTCTTTTCCTTTTTACCTATTCTACCCTTATATAGAGTCCTAGGCTGTAAAATGTTTCCCAGAACCAGCTTCACAGAACAGATTGATGTAAACCCTTCAAAGCTCACCTGTCACCTGTACCTGGACTAAACCTCAGCCTGGAAGTCAGAGACAACTATGACTTGTTTTTTATTTCAAAGATTTGGCATATAAAGAACTATAACGATGACAGACTATAAACTTTGTATATAATTAGATTGCACAAGAAGAGAAATAGTAATATTACTATTTCGGTACAACATCTTAAAGGATGCATTTATCTCTCTTTCTTTAAATACATTTTTGACATTTCATTTTAATTATTGCAGAATGCAGACCTAAAATTAGCTTGCTTAAGCTGTTATCACAAAGGGCACAGAGTAATAGATAATCACTATAAAATCCACAGAGCATTATTAGTAATTACATTAAAAACCCTCCCCAAAATCTGCTTAGAGCACTCCTAATTTTAACACAATCAAGTAATCACAACCATAAATCCAGGCCACACTTCGTAAATGCTTAAAATAAAAATAAAACTCCAGAGCATTTCTTTATTCCTAATTTTCATCTCAGGGTGTTTTAAAATTCAAAGTGTCTCTTAGTCCCTGCTGAACTGGGACCATTGCATTCAAGTGCTGCAAAATACTGAACTGGTCAATGCAGGAAGCTCATAAAGATCAAGTCAAAATTAAGTTGCAGGAAATGAGAGCCTGACTGCTTATTAGGAAAGTCTTTTCCGTACAGTTAGCTGCTTTCTTGAAAATATACTGCTGTAATCTTGGCAGAACAACAGACTATAAAAGTGCATATGGAAGCAACAATGCAACTCTTTGTAATAGTGAAAGGACATCAGTGTAATCAACATTCCACATATTTTGCTGAACTAAAATGGAATCCAATGTGTATTTTAGCTCACCCTGGTGAAACTGGGCTATTAGGGGCAAAGGGGCAAAAATATGGAAACTTCCACAAATTGTAGGCTGATCCCATGGTTCCGCTAGATTCTTCTGGCATAACGCCAATGTTGCCACAATCCTGTTCACTCCTGACAGCAAAGCCAAACAACACCAAAAGAAGCAAGAGAAAATGTAAATTATCAACAGACTGTTTTTAGGGCAGAAGGTCGGCAGTTCACGGGGTGAGCTCTGGTTGCTCGGTCCCTGCTCCTGCCAACCTAGCAGTTTGAAAGCACGTCAAAGTACAAGTAGATAAATAGGTACCGCTCTGGCGGGAAGGTAAACGGCGTTTCCGTGCACTGCTCTGGTTCGCCAGAAGCAGCTTAGTCATGCTGGCCACATGACCCGGAAGCTGTACGCCGGCTCCCTTGGCCAGTAAAGCGAGATGAGCGCCGCAACCCCAGAGTTGGTCATAACTGGACCTAATGGTCGGGGTCCCTTTACCTTTACCTATTTCCCACACCGAGCCACAGGGGCCTCCTAACAACTCTCAGCACCCTTAATGAGCTACAGTTCCCAGTTCCCATGGCCTAAGCCATGAATTTAGCATCATATGATACTCCTATAAGAGTACAGAACAAACTGTTGCCCTTGTAAAAGGAGCCCAGTATATCACTATCATCATCACCATCAAAGTGACTGCACTTCCTGTTCCACAGTCTACCAAGTGACATCCTGAGAACAGAAGGAAGAAAGGAAGGGATGAGATGTTCCTAATTTTGGTAACAGAACGGTCGATAACTTTGCAATCTTATCCAAACCAAGCTACATTCTTGGCATGCATATATGGGATAGGAAGGGAGGAAGGACGACACAGTTTCTTGTTAGAAGCAAATGTACACATTATGTTTTTAAGCCCTTCATTCTGACATCACAAAAGTGCTAATATTTTATTGGAACTTCCTAATTTATTATTTTTCTGTTTATTGTTGTTTTTTATTGTACTGTGAACTGCTTTGGTATCCTCTGAATGAAACGTGGTATACAAATGATTTCACTAAAGCGTGTTCTCCTTCATGGAGAGCACGTGTTGCGGTGGGGGCCACCAGGACACTCCACAGTTGGGGGCGGGCTAATTGATCGTTGGCCACTGATGCGATTGGGCTTCCCTTGTTGTTGGGAAGAAGTTAATGTTGCCATTTATTGATTGACAGCCAGAAATGCTAAAACTCTTTGCACGAGGCTAGGGCTTCCTCTTTTCACCTGTGCAACGGATTGCCCGTCCCACCCTCCCTATAATTAGGGTTGTTCGCTTTGACCTTGCTATGCCTGTCATGGGGTCGTCTGCTCTTGGGGCAGGGGCCCAGTAGGAATTTTGTCCATCTGGCTGATTGGCTGTGGCCATTTGGTTTTTGCCTACTGCGTAGCAAATCGTTACAACTTGTAAGGTTGCGGTTAGGCATTGGTTTATGGTTTGGTTGGTTGAGGGGCATGGATTGGCTGTGCCTGCCCCTCTAACGCTTCTGCTGCAAGTGATTCCGTTAAAGGAATCAGGGGCTAACTATTGCTTATCCACCCTGTCAAGGGGCTCGGGCCATAGAAATGAGCTCCTGGTTGCATTTGGGGAGGGCTGAGGGCAGGTTCCCTGCTCCATCGCTATCCCCAAGTGTATTCCCCTTTTCTGACTTTCACAGGCCTGCGGAATGTCAGTCTGTCCCCCATGGGGGGGCAGATAGTCGCAACCAATGCCTAAGCAACCACTCACATTTTTGTATTTTAATAAAGTTGTGGCCAAAATTATGCCAAAAATCTTAAACAAAAATTTCTGTGTGATGTGTAAGTTATTGGGGTGGCCCTAAGGACCTCAACACGCAAATAAGCAATCATAATTACAGGAAAGATCATACAAATTATAATCACGCCAACAAAATGAGATTTATCCTTGCTTACATTTCATTGTGTCTTGGGGCTCATTCCCATGACCTTTTTACACAGCTGTAATTTTGAGTCAACCTGTGCTACTTTTCTGCACCGTAAGCAAAACGCGACATGGATAATAAGGTTATTATGTGTTGTTGTTTAAGGACTTGTTACATGCGTCTTTTCCCTGGTTCCCTCCCACCCCATTCTGGAAAAGCAGCCTTTGAGGCTGATATCAGGAGTGGAAGTACAGCAGGAAAAACTGCATCCTCACCCCTCCCCCCCAAAAAAAACCTAACCCAAGGTGTTTTTCTCTTGTGGGTGGAAAAGTGATGGCAATTCCATTTCTCTTCCCCATGGGTGTGAAAGCAGCTTTGGGTACGTGCTAATGAACACAAAAGAGCAGAAAAGAAAGGTGTAAGGGTTAAGCAAGCCCATCCCTCTTGCACACTTAATTGCAGCCTCTGAGAATGCTTTTCAGTTATTTAAACACACACACACACACTAGGGGAAAGAGGCGTGAGTGGCTTTTCAAGCAAGCGTAGCCAGCTTGGGGTGGGGGGAGGTGACAGCTCAATTTCAAACTGCTCCTGGAAGTCAACATAGATGGACTAAAAACTAAAACGGCCACATGCTGAGAAAGTAGTAAGAATGTGGCCACATGTGCACTCAAGTGGTTTCCGTTGCGCTCATACTGGGGTGGAATCTGCACACATATATAAAAACGCTGTGAAAACGCTTTTTTAAAAAACGTTTTGAAAAATACATTGAAATTGCCATAGCTCACTGTCGCCACCCAGTGTCATGTTTGTACATTGCATTTCACAACACACTTAAAATGTTCTATTTGCAGCTGTATAGCTGAGTCCTGGGTCAAAGCAAAGTCACTTTGTTAATTTTACTGGGATGCGTGTCGCGCGACATTGCAACCATCACCTTCCATCACCTTTTCGTTTTGAAATGTGTGCCACTTCAATCGAC